CATGCCTGGACTCTGATTCCATCACCAATAACTAGTAGTTATGAAAGCCAGAGCATGTGGCTGTTGACCACACACCTGTTCTAAGTACCTGACACAAATTAGCTTATGTCTTCAACACAACACTGACAGATAAAGAAACTAAGGCGTAGAGAGGCTATGTAACCTGCAAGGTCTCACAGCTAGGAAGTGGTGAAAACAGGAATATGTATATTTTTGCACTGAGAACAGTTAAAATCTATTCTTTAGTATTTTTCAACTATGCAATATATTGTTATTAACTTGGTTACCATGCTATAACATAGAATAGAACTTAAAATCTATATTCTTTGGCAAATACCTCTTGATTTAGTCGTGTGGTGACAGAGCCCCTCAGATGCTGCCCAACTGTAGCCTTGTATGGGATCCCACAGGTTAAAACTAAGAATATCTCCATCTCCAGAGCTTTGAGGGTTCCTTGTAAGTCATTGTCTTAAGCCGAAACATTTGAAGAATTTGTTATGCAGCAAAACTGAAACCACTATTTTTCATAATCCAGATGCCTCTCTTTTTCCTCTCTTCAGAACTGAGACAATAATTTCTGAACAAGAGAAATCAAGATCTGCTTACATTTTCTAATTAAACACATATATTCAGTTCTTTTCATATAGTGTCTACTGCTTTTCAATTACATATTTCTGAAAACCAAACTACTTTCCTTGAAGGTTGTCACAACATTTTGATAGATTGACATTTTTAGTCTTTCTTAACACATAAATGAGTAACTTTAAATTGTAGTGTATTTTATTTTACATTTAAGAAACCACCCTATTTTCAGAGTGACTGTACCCTTGGCATTCCCACTAGCCATGAGGGTCCCCATTGCTTGGTATCCTCACTAACACTTGATACTGTCGGTTGAAAAACAAAAGTTGGTCATTCGAATAAGGCACCACTGTGCCTCGTTACACTTCTAATTTGCCTTTTCCAAATACTTAATGATTATGAGATTTTTTTCACATATTTGCCATCACTGTATCTTTTCTGGTTGGTGAAATGTCAACTGAGATATTTTTATTGGGCTGATTTATTTGTTTCTTTATGTGAGTACCAAGTGCTTGTTAGGGGAATTTGCAAAGTACTGCAGAGATCTCAACAATGGATGGGGAATAAAATAGCTTAGTGCTATCCTGGAGCTGAGGTTTTCTAATATAACCTCTTATCCCTGCCTTATGATCCAAGGATTAGTTCCCTTTAGTGTTTTGGGAAACAACCTAAACACTCTATCAGTGTCTGGGAATATTTAAGTCCTTGCATTTCTCAGGACAGAGAAAAAAGTGGGGACACTGGGGACCCTACAACTACTAATAGAACTAATGATACAAATGGATTGCTAACATATTATGCTGAGAAAAAAGTTGGACATAGCAGTAGATACTATATGATTCCATTTATATGAATTCTAGAACAAGTATAATTAGGGTGCCATAAAGCAAATCAGTGGTTGCCTGGGACTGGGGATGGGGGATTACTGACTGCAATCCCAGGACATAAAGTAATTTTGGGAGGAGCTGGAAATGTTCCATATTTGATTGTGGTGGTATTGCACAAGAATATGCAACTGTCAGATTTACTGAACTGTACACTTAAAATGTGTTCAACTAAATTATACTTTGATATGTTGTGAATTGAAAAACTGTTGGAAATCATGGAGATTCTTTTAAAATACCTTCTTTGTTATTAAAAGCAGTAATGCTCACTCCTACCCACTTTGTTCTTTTCCAAGGTCCCATATGCCCAGCCCTATAGGGTCTTGCTAGGTTGCCTAGGGCCTCGCTAAGTTGCTGAGGCTGGCTTTGAACTTGTGATCCTCTTACCTCAGCCTCCCAAGCCACTGGGATTATAGGCATGTACTAATGTGCCCGGCTCATCTAGATTTTTTTACAGAAATCTTCAAATGCTTTTTATGTCTTCATAAATGTTGAGTTCAGATGAGGAATGCTTTGCTACAGAGTTTCTTCTCTGCAGAGATGCCAGTTGGTAGCTATGACTGTTCATTAAGCCCCTGTCTTGTGGACTGGATTAGCTATAATGTCCACTGTAGATGATGAAATTGGATGCGGAGAGGCTAAATAACCCATCCATATGACCTGTATGTGGCTGAGGCTGGCTAAACCCAGGTCCACTCTACGCCACTGCTGGTGAGAAAACAGTGCTAACCTAGGAGACTGGAGTTCGGATTCCCACTCTGCCCTTTGGTCATGTGTGATCTTGGTTCCCTTATCTGCAGGTTAGGGGATTACCAAGCCTCATTTCTTGTGGTGGATTGTGCAATTCCAAGGGAGCAGTTGACCACACTGCAGTGCCATGGTGCCCCATGGAGTGCTCACGGAGGCAGCTCTGGGATGATAATCTCCTTAGTAAGTCTAAAGGTTGTCATGGATTTCTACCCAGAAAAATGTGTGTGGGGATTCCCAGAAAGCTCTCAAATAAGGTGACACCAGTACTGTTCCTCAAAACCTTCAAGAGCTCCCAAACACCTGTGGAATCTACTTCTAAACTCTTCAACTCTATAATCTAGTCAAGACCAATGTCCATCTTACCTCCCTCTACTCTTGGCTCCAAACTCTCTACCTCCACCAGGCCCATACCTACCCCTTCTTGAGATGCCATCAACCACCTGTCAATACCTCATATGGTCTGGGGCTAAAACTCCCTGGATGCAGGGAGGGGAGCGGAAGCCTTTTGGACCAGCAATAATGATACTATGGAATTCATGCTCTGCTGACTTTCTGCTTGTTCTGAATGCTCTGCGGAGCTGGAAGTTCTGTCATTCTAATGGATTGACATATATAATCTTATGTGCATATTATTACATATAATCTTCCTGGGCTCCTGGTTCCAAGCATTGGGACCCAAGCATATCTGCCATCTAATTTCATTCCTGCCTGCCCCTGTGGAGGGACCGACACACCTCACCTGGCTTTGGTAGGTCTATGTACCCTTTCCTGGAAACTTTCCCTTCTCCTTCCACATGGCCAAGTTGGTTAAATGTGAGACCCTTGCTTTGCCATAAAAGCTTTCCCAATCCCTGCAGCCTATAAGGACCTCTTTTCTGAACTCCTCAGAACTTGCATTTGGTGACCCATGTAATCACTCAGACCATAGTACACTACAGTATATTCCAGGCCTCCCTGAGATGATGCCCTTTTTCAATGAGAGGATTCGTCATAACAAAAGGACGCATGCTCACACGGTGCTGGCCACACACTGGTTTCCACATTGTCTTAATTTATTTACTTCACACAAATCCTGCCAGGAAGGCATGGCTCTAATGCTTTGCAGCAGAGAAAGCTGAGGAACACAGAGGTTACGTAGCTTGCTCAAGGCCTTATCACTTTTAGGTAGAAAAAGTGGGTTTGGGGCCCAGGCAGTCAGCAGTCTGAGCTCTTCCTGCCATTCGGGGAAAAAAAAAAAATTCTAGCCAATTTGAATATACTATGTTGAGTATGTTGCAGATTAAATAATTTAACATCTTTTTTACTATTTTTAACTATATTTGAGTATTCTGGGTATTTTTTTCAGTTCTGTTAGCTCTGATCACCAATAAGCTTATAAAACCTGTAAGATAAGGACTGAGCCCCTCTCTCCTTCCTGTTCTCCTCTTCATCTCTCTTATCCTCACCCTTTCCTTTGTCCTTTATCATGAAGCATGTGGCACAGCCGTATGCACATAGCAAATGTTTGATAAACACATGGTGAATTCATTGACTTGTCCAGTTGGCCATCAAGGGCACCTCACATATAGTTGGAGCTTTTCCCACAAACACTGGATGCATATCTTCCCTGTGCCTGGCATCACGCTAAGTCCCCAGGGCCCATTAGCACATGTAGCAGGCAAAGTAACTGTGCCCTGTGAAGCTCCTGTCACCATGGAACGTGGTTTACACCTTACATTGCCCTAACTCTGAATATTCTAAAGAGATTTCCAGACTTATCTTAGTTGATTCCGTGATAACCCTATGACACAGATATCACCATTTCCAGTTTGCACCTGAGAAAGCAAATATAAACGATTACCCCAAGGCCATGCAGCTGGGGGGCCAAAACTGAAACTCAAACCCAAGTCTTCGTGAGTTGTCTAAATTTGCTGTGATGACCTGCCCCACAGAGGTCTCGGGAAGGCCCCTGCAGAATAATGAGATTATTCCCTAGTTGTTTTCCTTCCATTATGGGGAAGATTCTCAGTTCATTCTTCATCCTGACTCCCCCTGGGTCAAAGTAATGCTTAGTGAGGAATTATAGCCCCCTCTCCATACCAAAAATAAGCAGTGTCGGGGGTGGGGAGCCAAGTGCCTCTGAGATAGCCACTGAGTGTCATGATTACTCAACTGAGTGCTTAGTGGGAGCTGTCAATAATAACAAAAGAAGAACTATAACAAATTTGATATCTTTCTGAAAACTTGCAAAACCTGAGAAGCTAGCCTGTTTTAAAACAGGAAGCACCATTGTTTACTACCTCACTAACATCTGTGATCAGACAATATCTCCACGTCTTTAGTGGTGACACCTGAGTGACCACTGGGTGACCAGAGGACTTCACTAAATCACCAGGTACCACTTTGTTCTCATCTGGACAAGAACATACTGAATTGCCACAGAAGGTGCTTATTTAGAAGATCATTTCCAGGTAGGCTGGAAAAGAGAAATGTATCCAAATGTCCAGGAGGTAAAAGAAATACCTTCCAGAGTGCTCTTGAATCTAGGGGGAAGGAGGTGGGGGTAACTGGCAATTGAGAGGTGGTGTGGGGCCAGAGAGGGAAAGGGTGTTACTAAATATGTCCATTTTCTTCTTGCCTTCTCCTCAATCTTCCTTTTCTTTCTCCCACTCATACCATGATACGTTTGCCTCTTGCACTCATCCAAACTTGGCTTTTTATACCTCTTCAATCAACATTATCTTGTTATCTGCCCTGTACATTCATCCATTCTCAACGGTTGAGAATACCTCCACTCCAGAAATGTTAGGCTCAGTAGTTCATTTTAATTGATATTGAATTGTGAGAACCAGTGAGTGAAAACATAACTCATAGCTATGTGTATTTTTTCATTAAATATGTATATGTACAAATATATACTTAATCCAAATTTGCATTGAAAAGCCACTCAAATGCAGGCTATTAGTTGATGATGGATGTGGTGTCTTTTTGTCTGGATAGATGAGGTTGACTGATTTCCTTTCCTAGATCTGTGCTGGAAGATAGACATAGGAAGCCCTGTGTTGTCTTTTGGAAAATGCTGGTTTGGCTTAGGATGAAAGTTTACTCTTGTTTGATGAGTGCTTCAAGGGAGAGTGGTGGGAAGTTGGGTCTTCAGTACATGAGAGGCTTGGAGCTGGAAGGCACCTACATCTCTCTTCAGCAGGTGATGCTTATGTGGAAACAGGAGGGCCCAGTTATTTCTCCTGGGGGGAGGGTAGGGGGGGATGTGAGCCCTGTATATGATTCAGTAAGAAAAAAAGCAGACATAATCAGCATAATAAATTTAGTGCAGAGCACAAGCAGATGATTCACAGAAAAGTAAATCTGAATGACTAATTAGTTTAAAAGACCCCCTCAGTAACCTAATAAATGTTAATTACAACAGCAATGACATTTCTTATGTCCATCTAACTGGCCAAGTGATTTTATTTTCTTTTATACCATCTCCCTGTTGATGGACATTTGCTGAAACTGGCACCAACATCTTCAGAGCCAAGAGCACACACACACTTTCTGGAAGCAATTCGGCAAAATACACCAAGAGGCTTAGAAAAATGATTAGAGATAGAAATTGTGATTGGGAGAGTGTGCTTTAAGGAAGTAACTTTTAAAATGTTTTTTAATGGCTGTATTATTTATAACAGGGCAAACTGGGAATGACTTTATCATACAAGAGTATGACAGTGGTTAGCCATGAATGTCTTACACAGTGTGTTGGAGTCATTACAAATTATTTTTTCAAATAATTTTAACCACATAGAACCGGGTGCAGAATGTGCAATTTAAAGTATCAGAATACAATATAATATACAAGTATGCACTCACTTACAACATACATGGTACCTAGGAAAGACACAGTGGATCTTTCTCTGTGGCACAGCTGGAGGTGCGGGTATGGGGCCCTGGGCAGCTGAGCACTCTGGCTATGCTGACCACACTACTCTGTGTAGATACACCTTCTTCAGGAAGACATACCTTTCATGACCACCTCTTTCAACTAAATAACATCAGCCTGTATTCAAAACTAAAAATCAGTCATATTTGAAATACCTATTATTCAAACGTAATGGATAAGTCTAGTTGGGGGGCATGAAGGTTGTTTAAAAATATCCAAAATCAGCTGACCGCTGTGGTTGGCAGCTGAGGAAGTCCATGTGCCACCCTAAAATAGATATGTGGGGAAATGTTTGCAACTTGGAGGACGCAGCACTAATTTCAGCTTTAAGATATTCTTGTATATTTCTAGGGAGGAAACTCCCTCCTTCTGCTCCTGTGCCGTTTTCTGAAAGTTCTTCCCCAATTGGGCTGAATCTGTTTCCTCCCACGCCATCAAATTTCTGTTCTCTAGAGTCTACTCTCTTTTGTACAGGAAAACCTATCACATCATAGATTTTTCTATCTTAAAGAGACCTAGAAATTGTCTAATCTAATCCTTTAATTAATTATTTCTGTGCCAGATAGCATTACAGATTTATGAGATTACAGATTTATGTGTGAAGATTGAATTAGTCTCTTTGTGCTACCTCCCGGGGTTGGTTCTGGGGTCACTCCTGGGAGCCATACAAAATTCTGATCTCAACTACATAGCCAGTATATTGCTTGCTCTCAAGAGTAACCCCCCTGGCTTCTTCAACTCATCTTTACTGGATACGGTCCCCTCCTGACTGCATTTCAATTGGACAGTGTTTGCATTACAGGTAATGTAGACACAGCTGGATATCTTTTATGAGACTGGGAAATGATCACTTCCCATAATCCACATACAATATTTTACTAATTTACATAAAGCAATGAAGATTAAGTTAGATTAAATTACAGGCACATGCAGAAAGCTTTATAAAATTAACCCCATCACATGCTAACTTTATGGCCAACTAGAATCATAAGAGTTTTTATGGAAGTATGGATGCGCAGTGTGGGTAATCTAAATGTCTCTTAATAGAAAAATCACCAAAATCACCCCTTAGGCAGGGCTGGGAATTGAGAGGGGAGAGAGTTAAGGAGATTTCATGTTTGTCAAAAATCAAATCAAATTTAAAAATGATAGAGGTTTATTTTGCATACAATAAGATTAGTCTAAAACCTGGGAGACTTGGAGCTCAAAGTGGGAAGAAATAAGAGATCAATGGAATAGAACAAACAGTACACAACAGAATCAGCAGTGATCCTAAGGCAAAGGTGACAGTTCAAAGCCCAGGGGAAAGGGGTCAACCCACAGAACTACTATAAACCCCCAGGGGTTCCCCTTCTGATGGTCACTCAGAGGTTATCCAAGTGCAGTATCCAGCCACATTTGTCAAGAGGCTAAGCCCTAGCAAGAGAAGAGCAGAGGTCCTTGGGTTATCCCCAAACTTCAGAATGTTCCAGAAGCACTAAAAACCTCAGGGTGGGAAGAAGAAGAGAAAATGTGGGCCTGAGAGGCATCGTGGGCCCAGCATCCTCCTGAGTGGAGGTGTAGGCTGTGGTCACCTGAGGGCTTCTCAGTCCTTGAGAGGAGCTAAACCAAATCCCAGACCTTAAGAGGAAGTCTCCCCTCTCCCAGTCTTGGTGGTTATATGTGGACCCTGGCCCAAAGCTAAAGAGGAGAACCCAGCTACTCACTTTTCTATACTTGGAAAGAGTAGTCCAGTGCTTTATGCCATGTGGCCTCTGACCCACATTTCTGACTTCACTCAGTTTGTGGTGTCAAGTTCGGAAGGGTCATCCCTTCACCTGGTAATGTGCCTGGGCTTCCATCCCAGTGGCCTGTTGGGGAATGAGTCTGCCAACGCTTCCAGGAGGCCCTGCTTGGGAACACTGGTGTTCAATTATGGTTTAATTGATAAAGAAATTGAGCAAAACTGAAAATTTTACGACAAAGCCACCATGAAGTTTAAAGCAGCACAATTCACAATAGCTAAATTATGGAATCAACCCAGATGCCTGTTAATAGATGAATGGAATAAGAAATTGTGATACACACGCACACACACGCACACACACAAACACACACACAAAATGGAATGCTACTCAGCCATAAAAAGAATGAAACTATGGCATTTCCCAGTAAATGGATGGAAATGGAAAGCATCATACTAAGTGAAATTAGCCAAACTCAGAAACTCAAAAGTCAAATGTTTTCTCTCATATATGAAAACTAGAATAAAATAAAGGAAAGGGGAAGGGAAGGATAGGATAACATAAAGAACCAATCAAATATAAATTAATAGATGAGAAAAAATAAAGTCTAGTAGAGTATAGGAAAAAGGGGAGGGGGAAGGAGGGCATAAGGAAAAGGGGGAAGGGAAATGGGGGAATTATGAACCTAAATTGATTTCCATTTATGTATTTGTCAAGATAAACTCAACTGCTATGCATAACTATAAAGCTTTAATAATAATAATAATAATAGCAATAGCAATAGCAATAAAATCCCCTTAAAAATAAAGTAAGACAGTAGGCTCTCATTCTGGTCAGTCTTGTATAATGTATGCGTATCTGCACAGAGAGACGTTAATGGTGGTAAACTACGTGATGAGATTTGGGGTAGTTTTTACTTTGCTTTTGTGCTTGCATTCATATTGTTTGTTTGCTACCACCCTATCACTTCCCCAAAAATGCAAAAAGCCTTTTTGAAAATCCCAATTCAAACTCTTGACTATCTTGAACCTAAGTATTATGCAATTGAGTCAGGTTAGACCGATGACAGCCGTGTTAGCTCTTACATCTCTGAACCCACGAAACGAGGAGTCAAAGCCCAGGCTGTGGCTGGGAGGGCCTGCATGACTCGGGCAGCCCTGAAGCCTCAATCAAAAGATCCTATGCACTCGTCATACTGGTCATGTTGATCATATGAATTAAAGACACTATCTCCAATTGAGCAAACTTGAATGAATTTTCCTTTAAAGTTTGGCTTGTTTCTAAGTTACTCTGAGAGAAAAGAAAAGTACTACAAATAACGAATGGTGTGTGGAAGCTCTCTGTATTTGCCCTCTGAAGAAACTGCTCTGTTCCTTCTTGTTTTAGATGCAGAACTTTCAGAGGACACTTGGGGTGATTTCAAGTGCAAAACAGACAAAATGATGGGGAGTTTTTTTCCTCAGCTGCTGGAAATAAGAACGCTGTTGGACTTAATATCAATTGATCCTCAATTCCACATTGGGCTTCCAAAGCCAGGAATATGTATGGGATGGGAAGAAGATGTATCTAGGCAGAGCCATGAAAATAGATCAACAGGGGTCGGCTTTTTCCCCATTTCACCAGAAATGGCTTCTCCTGACCTTTCTTCCACTCTTGTTTCTTACATGATTTATGGCTTTTTCAAGTTCAAAATGTGATTTTATATACACAATTTCATTTCATTTCCTTATGCTAGCTCTCTTGTGAGAGATTTTCTCAAAACAACAATAACAACAAAATAACATGGTGTAGTCAGTGTAGATATGAGCATCCCACAACTCAGTTGTAACATTGATGCTACACCATTGTATAGAAACAGAATGCCCAACCAGAAATGTGCATCCCCTTGAATGGGAGACAAATAACTAACAAAAGTATATGAGGCTATACCCCCTGCACACAGGGCTCAGCCTCTGGAAGAGAATCTGCTGAGCCCAGTGCGGGTACCAAGAAACACTGCTTCCTGCTGATAGCTCTGGTATCATGTGCCTCTGTCCCGGAATCCCACAACTTTTCTCAGGAGCTTGTGATCTGGAGACACAAGCCCTGGTACTGGAGATGGGCCCTGGACACAGAGAGGTGACCTTGTCTGGTGCCAGTGGACTGATAAATCCATAGGAGACAAGCCCTTCCAGCAGGCTGGAGCGAGAAGCCTGGGAGCACAAAGGAGCCCAGTGAGGCCCAGAAATCAGTGCAGGAACCAATACCCATTGGACAGGTAGGAATCCAGGTTCAAGAGGTAGACCTGCCCTGAAGTGGCAGAGGGGAGAGACTGATCACCTCCCAGAGTTGCCAGAGAGGAAACTGCAACTCTAAGGGACTGGGTGGCAGGCTGGAGACACTGTGTGAATGGTGTCGGAGTGAGAGGGGCTGAGCCCAAAGCAAGGGCAGAGTCCAAATCTGCAGTTCCATGGCAATCCTCCCTGCAAGGGCTACGCGCCTGGTCCAATGCTAAGAGGTGCCTGAAATATCTCCATAAGGAGAATGGCTCGAGCCGGACAAAGCAATTGCTCACCCCATCCCCTTCCCTTTTCATGTGTGATTGTCAACTTTTAGGGGGAGGAAATGGATAACAGAGTTAAGATCACCCCTTATATTGTATGGTAAAGAACTTTAAAAGGGGATCACTAGATAAAGAGCTACAGGATCAGGTGCCCAAATTAATTTGAAACTAGAGAAAAAAAATTTCACTTTTAAATAAATGGTTGTTTTCTCTAGTCTTATGCTCTGGGACTCTGCCACGTTCCTCCCTAATGCTGGAGAACAGGAGAGATAGAAGAGGGAAGGGATCTGGAAAGGCTGACTAGACCAGGTCCTGGACCTCTTTTTTTTTTTTTTCCCCTCTGAGTTGTCCTTTATTCCTATTTCACAGGTGAGGAAATCAGGCTGGCCCTTCTGACAAGGGAAAGCACCAGGGTCTGACTAAGCGGCCACTGGCTGAGAGCAGCCATCTGCTGGCTGGGAAAGGGGTTGGGTGGGATGCCCTGGGCAGGGATCTCAGGGAGAGTGAGTGGGACAGTGTAGAGGCAGGAGGCATGGAAGAGAATAACACACAGAGATGGAACACCCCGTTCCTGCTGCATAAGTGCCACTAGCCCTGCTGCATAATATACCTGCCATCATCCAGCTAGCAGATGGTAGATCCTGGACCTTTTAAGGATACTAGAAAGATCTGTATTGTGTCCTGGGACAATACATGCATTTCCCCAAGCTGCAGGGTCAGCTCTATCATTTTGTGCAAATGCCTGATAAGAGAGCCTGACAGAGCTGGGAATGTCAGGGGACACCCTACTTCCGGTGGGTTTTATCCTGCTCTCCAGCTGGGCATAAGAGGAAAAAATGGAGGGATCCCATAAGTGACAAATTTTCTTTTCCTTAAAAGCATTTAGGCCTCAACCTTCTTTAAATGTCTGAGCTGGCTCTAATCTGATCCAAATTTACACTCTGCTCTGATAAAGATATTTCATGTTCTCCTTTGCTGAAATAATTATGATTGGGCTCTTCCTTCAGTCTAAGTCTTTTTTGGAGCTCATAAGCTGAAGTTTATGCCCTCTATTTTTCTTTCTTCTGTCCTTATTCTGAGGCCAGTTGTCCAAGGGTTAACTATCTCTCTCACACACACAGAGAGAGAGAGAGAGAGAGAGAGAGATCTCCTTTGAAGACTCCTAGGTTTTAGGATTCTATTGAGAAGCAAAGACAATTCCTTGCCACTTCTAAAACTTATTTTTAAGAACACTCATTAACTTACACGTCCACGTCCTCACATGTGTCCCTTCCCTGAGAAAGGAGAAAGCCAACAGCCCTTCCTCCCTTGAGCGAGCAGCACATGGACCAGTTGTACTTCACCAGACTCCTGCCTCATCTCATTTTCCTCTTTCTCCAGGGAAGTCCTAAGAAAAACAGGCAAGGGCAGGATGTGGAGGGTGGGAGGGACCCAAGGTAAGGGAAAAGGGTGATCATGAACAGAAACCTATTTCCATGCAAATGAGTTTGTGGGGATGAACCCAACAACTATGTATAACCATTAATCTCTAATAAGATAAATAAAAATTACATTAAAAAAGAAAAGAAAAAACAGGCACTGGTTCTGCAGTTCCTGATCTATAAAAATAAGTTGAATAAGAAATTCCTTTGACCAACCCCTCCTGTTCATCTTCTTTGCGAAGAAGCAGCTCTCCAGAGTTTTCTGTGGCACATATAAAGGTCAATTTAAATTGTTGACTTGATTGGATTAAGAGATGCCGAAGATTAAGAGGCTTCTGGGTATGTCAATGAGGGTGTGTCTAGGCATGTGGAATAGCCAACTGAAGTGGAGATGCTCCCTAAGCATGGGCAGCACCATTCAGTAGGTTGGAGGCTTAGATGGAATAAAAGTTGGAAGAACTAGGAAGCAGCAGCAGATGCAAGCTGGATTCTCCTAAACACCTTCTTGTTTGCTGCTTCGATCACCTGAGGACATCAGACTCCAGCTCCTTCACTCTTCCAAGGTGGACTCTGCCAGTGATTCTCCAGGGAGTTTCCAGAAGCCTTCGGTCCTGGACTGGGATAGCATCATTGATCCCTCTTGTTCTGAAGCTTCAGCCTCTGGACTGCCCAGTGACTGGTTCCTCCAGCTCTCCAGCCTGCAGATGGCCATTGTGGACTATCCAGCTTCTGTTTTTTTAAGCCAATCTAATAAATCCCCTTTTTATAACTATACCGCCTGTTGGTTCTGTTCCTCTGGAGAACCCTGACTAATACAGCACATTTCTGCTTAACTCAGCATTACTAAGAGCAGGAGAAAGAAAGCAACTGAGGTTAATGCTGCCTAACATTGCAATAATTTCAATTGTTATTAATAATTACAATAGCTAAATCAATAAAAGTTAAATTTTAAAATCCTTGCATTTAAATCTAGTCATGACAGAACTGGACATGGCTAGAAACTGAAGATCCAACCCAAACTTTTACATTTACTTGTTAGAGGATTTTGAATAAATTACTTACTTTCTTCAAGTTTCAGTTTTTCCATTCATTACGAGGAACATGTTGCACATCATTATAGGGCGTGGGAAGGACTGGTTATTTATAATAATTATTATTATTACTACTATTGTTATCAACATTTTGTTTTAAAATATGAAGACAATGATTTTGATAGTCACATTTAAACTATAAGACATAAAAATGCAAAATGTTTTAAAATATGCAGTCGTAGGTAGGAATGGTGGCTCACACCTGTAATCCCAGTGACTCAGGAGGCTGAGGCCGGAGGATTGCAAGTTCAAGGCCAGCCTCAGCAACTCAGTGAGACCCTAAGCAACTTAGTGAGACCCTGTCTCAAAACAAAAAAATAAAAAGGACTGGAGCTATGCCTCAGTGGTAAGACCCCTGGAATCAATCCCAGTACCAAAACAACATAACAGTTTGTGGTGATAACAATTAATATATTATTATCGTTCTCCAACTTGTTTTTCTACTTTGAACTTTCTTCTTTAAAAGCTTTCAGAACTCAATATCCCCATTCTTCAGCCCCATCCTGCAACATTTCTGTTTCTTTTCCCATCGAGGATCATGCTGACTTTGAAAACTGCAGATCTTCCGGAGGCCAAAGCCCCCTCTACCCTCAGCATTTCTGACTTGTCATTGGAAATCGGTGCAAAAGAACCTTTAAAATGTGCTGGCAGCTCATCACGCCCTCTCTGGGTAAGCCCATCATCACCTGGTGTGCTTTGGCCCGTGCCTAACTGCGGGACTGTCTTTTCTTCTCTTCCAGGGACGAGCAGAATGGCTACCTCCTTCCCCGAGACTGAGCTGGCCCTGGAGGCAGTTGGAACCACACCCTACGACTATGACTGGGCACTGCCCTGTGAAAAAGTCAATATCAAGGAGCTGGGGTCGCGGTTTCTGCCCCCGCTGTACTCCCTGGTGCTCGTGGTGGGGCTCCTGGGCAACGTGGTGGTGGTGCTGATCCTCACCAAGTACAGGAGGCTCAAGGTCATGACCAACATCTATCTGCTCAACCTGGCCATTTCTGACTTGCTCTTTATCTTCACTCTTCCCTTCTGGATCCACTACGTTGGGTGGAACGAGTGGGTTTTTGGTCCTTTCATGTGCAAGCTCCTCTCGGGGTTTTATTACCTGGGCTTGTACAGCGAGATCTTTTTCATCATCCTGCTGACCATCGACAGGTACCTGGCCATCGTCCACGCCGTGTTTGCCCTTCGAGCCCGGACGGTGACTTTCGGTGTCAGCAGCAGCATCTTCACCTGGGTCCTGGCAGTGCTGGCGGCCCTCCCCGAATTTATCTTTCATGAGTCCCAACAGGGCTCCGAAGAGTCTGTCTGCAGTCCCCTCTACCCAGAGGACGAGGAAGACAGCTGGAAGCGTTTCCATGCTCTGAGGATGAACATCTTGGGTCTCGCGCTCCCTCTGCTCATCATGGCCGTCTGCTACTCTGGGATCATAAAAACACTGCTGAGATGCCCCAACAGAAAAAAGTACAAGGCCATCCGGCTCATTTTTATCATCATGGTGGTCTTTTTCATTTTCTGGACCCCCTACAACCTGGTTCTCCTTCTCTCTGCTTTTCAAATGAACTTACTGGAGTACAGCTGTGAGCGCAGTAGACATCTGGACCTGGCCATGCAGGTGACGGAGGTGATCGCCTATACCCACTGCTGCGTCAACCCTGTCATCTACGCCTTCGTCGGCGAGAGGTTCCAGAAATACCTGCGCCATTTTTTCCACAGGCACGTGACCATCTACCTGGGCAAATACATCCCATTCCTTCCTACCGAGAAACTGGAAAGAAGCAGTTCTGTCTCCCCGTCTACTGGGGAGCCCGAACTGTCTGTTGTGTTTTAGATCAGGTGCAGAAAACTGCCTGTGGAAGCCGGACTAGGCAGGTGAAGCTAACACACTGCGTCAACAACACTGAACTCTGGGACAGGTCTTTGAACTTTCAGCACAATAGCAAAGCTCTTGAAGATCTTAAAACATATGCAATGCGGGCAGTGTGGTGCTTACACCCAAGGTCATTACCAGAGGCCAAGGGCTGGACAGTTTACCCACTGAAAACCATAAAAACTACAGCTTTGCTTGATTCTCTGAAGACTTACCTAAGTTTGGATATTAGATAATATACACAGCCACAAACAGGTAAAACTTCTTATATTTTAAAACGTAACTTCAGCCACTTACGGACAGAAATGAATTCTTTCACAAAATGCATTAAGTCAAATTACTTTATTTTCTCATATGCCTAAACAAAATTCTTTCTTTGCTTGGTAAAAGGGTTTTGCCTTCTTTTTTTTTTTCTTTTTTGCTATATGGATAAATACTCTCAAGCAACATAATGGCACGATGCCATAGCTGTTCTAAATATTCTTAATAGTTGGTTGGTTTCCTGTTCACACCAAATGACCTCATGTCTCTTGTGTGGCTCACAGAGCCCTAAAAGGTGCACTCTATAAAGTAGGGGGATTCTATACGTGAGAAGAAGCCCCCCAGTGTGGAGTGGAGGCTGTAGGCTCAAAGGGACTCACTGAAGTCACTGGTTCTCAAATGTGTCATCAGAAGCACTGGGCTGGGTCTAATCTTACCCCAGAGTTTCAAAAGTGGTGGGTCTGGAGTGAGACCAGAGAATTTGCCACAAATGCGAGTTCTCCAGCGTTGCCAACGCTGCTTTTCCTGGGATCACACTTTTAGAACAACTGTACTAACTAACATGCTCCTAGATGCACTTCCGCCTTCTTCTGGAAACTCAGGATTTCGCAGTTGTCAGAGAAAAATGTAAAAGACCCTTTCGATGGATCTCTGCTAAAGATAGTTGCCATCTGAGAAGACTATGAACAAAGTCAATCCATCAGAAACCAATCAACTCAGTAGGAATATCTCGTCCACTGGTTTTGGTAAGATGAGCTTGGCTGGAATACCCATATAGAGCACCCTGCACTAGAAGCTGCAGGAGTTTTTAAGATGGGTGGGACTTGCATGAACTGCATTCTAAAGAGATAAAAAATGCAACTTATGACGTAAACATATTTCAAAAAAAAAAGTAGGAATGACCCAGGAACGAGGACTTTCTTTCTCCCTGTTTATGGCTTCTTGAGAAAGTGAGTTCTAAGCTTCTGCTTAATGTGTGCCCCTCAGTAGAGACTATGTACGAGAAGGTGTCATGAACCCACCAGCTGTTCATCCAACAGCTGTCTGTTAGGGGTCAGGGACAGGATGCACACACACTGCCGTTAAGTGAAGGATGCATAAGACAGACACAATCCCTGCCCCCATGAAAACTTCAGTCTAGTGAGAGGTGTAAGACAGAAACTAATAACTCCAGTATGAAGAGGCAGGCACTTGATGCTGTGCCTGGAGCTGAGAAGGGAAAAGCCATTTCAGGTGAGGGAGGACTTCACGGAGGAAGTGGCTTCTGACCAGGTGTCTGAAGAATAGACAGTAAAGGATTGAGAAAGTAAAGGATTGGGGGACAGGCATTTGAAACCAAGGGAATGCCCAGTTCAAAGGTGAGGAGGAAGGCACATATTTATAGAAAATAGGGTGGAATGAACAAGTTGGAATGGGCCATGAATTTCAGGCGGAGGACCTTAAACTTTTTAAGGGGTTTTGAGGAGGGAAATAAAATAATCAATGTCATGCATTATGGAGATGAATCTGGAAACAGAGCATGGAGGCTTCAGAACCACCCAGAGAGGAAAAGTTAGCAGGTGAGCATGAGTGTAGAGATGAGGAACATTAGTGGCTGATGAGAGGTGCCAGAAGCACCCAGAGATGAAGTGGCCAAGAGACAGCATGAAGAAAGAGTCAAAGCACTAGGCGTCATGTATGGTTGATAGAAAAAAAATCAAAGGGCAAAATATGTGTAACAGTCAACTTTGCATTATTACAATGAAACACCTGAGGTAATTAACTTATAAAGAGAAAAGGTTTATTTAATTCATGGCTCTGGAGGTTCTAGTTCAAGATCCACTGACCCCATAACTTTGGGACTCTAGTGAGGGTAGTAGATAGCAACAATAGGAAATGCATGTTGGAGCAGACCATTATGTTATAAGCCAGGAAGCTGAACAGAGCGAATAGACTGGAATCTCACAGTCCCTTCTGGGGGCATGTCCTGGATGACTAAAGACCACCACTAGGCACAATCTCCTGAAGACAACAGGACCTCCTGATGGTGCAATCCTGGGAGACAAAGCCTTTAACATGGGCACCTGTAGGGGACACTATAAGACAAAAGAAACCAGCACCAGTGGTTGTCTTTAGGAGGGCTCTGAGTGGCTGGAGAGCAGGAAAAAGAGTGTGGCCTTCTGGATTTTTTTTTTTTTTTTTTTTTACAGTGCTGGGGATGGAACTCAAGGCTCACACATCCTAGGCAAGCATTCTGCCACTGAGTCCATCTCCAACCCACCTTTTGGATTTTGAGCCATGGAAACATGTTACCTGTTCAAAATAATAATAACAACAATAAACCTTAGAATCATATTTTTAAAATTAAAGGCTAAGCTCTTATTCAGATGTTCAGATGTGGGCACCCAAACCATCAGCCAAAGGACACGAGAAACTTCTTGCCATGAATTAACCCTTTGACGTGGTACACATTATTTAACCTCGTTTGGCTAAGATTTCTTTATTTATACCATAAAGGAGTTGGATTAGATCATTTCTAAGGTCTCTGAAGCCCAACCAAACTCTGATCTTCTTAAAAATATTGGGAGCCGGGAGCTCAGTCCATAAAACAGATTGTAAAACAGGAGGGGGAGAGGAACAGAGGACAATTCCAAGCATCACCTCCCCTGGCTGGAAGCAGACGATGACCCATTGCTGACCAGGGGGTCCTCGGGAGTCGCTTGCTCATCCACTCATCTCTTACCATTCTCCATTCTCTCCTTCATCCAGTAAACATTGGCTGAGCATTCACCATGTTCTCAGCTAAGTCCTGAGCAAACAAAATCAAGCACATCATGGACCCGCCCTCAAGAGCTCACCGTCACGTTGATTTGCCCACAGATCTTGCTCTCCGTTGCCAGGGTTCTGCCAATGCCTCATTTTAACCAAAATGGGAGACACTTCCACGTGAAGGCCAGAAAACATTTGATTTCACTTCCTATCCAAGTGCTTGGGGACGGGGTATAGCTGTTCCTGGCCATCCGTTCCATCCCTCCTCGGCCTCTGGTAAGGGGCCTCCACCTTTCTCACCACGGTGCTCACCTGAAAACTCTACTGGGTAATATAGGATGTGAGCTTTGAAACACTCTGAACCATGCAACGTGAATCTCACCGTGGCTAGGAAACTCTGAAATAACCTTTTCTCTTTTTTGTGGTTCAGTTGAAATGTAAATAAAACATCATTCAAAAACTTAATTATATGTCACTGATTCTCTCTCGGCTTGTGAAGTTGTGTCTGCTCTCAGGTAACCACAGTTGCTGGGGACAGGTGCTTGCTTATACTTGCCTTACCCCAGAAACCTTTAGGAGCTTTGAGGCCCACTCAAAACTGCAAACCATCAAAGCGTGAATTCAGTGTGCTCCGTCTTGCTCCCTAGCCCAGCTCTGTCCAATGGAACTATCTGCAATGACAGAAATGTTCTATATCTGCCTTGTCCAAGATGGTCAACTATGAGCCGCATGCAACTGTTGGCCAATTGAAATGTGGACGATGTGACTGAGAGGAACCGAATTTTTTAAATCGCACTCAACTTCAATTGCTTTGGGTTTAACTTGAAATAGCCATCCGTGGCCAGTGGCTACTTCAGGTG